GCCAGCAGTCCTGCATCACAGGGCAGCATGGGCAATCTACCCAATCTCTTATCTATGCTGTTTATTCGTTAACACACTGAAGAACAGCAGCAGGCTTTCATTGCCATATGTGACTTTAGATTTCCAAACTGTTTAAAACAACAAAAATGTAAATTGTTTGTAAGCAATTCACTCACATATTGTCTGGCTCATGGCAAATCTCTTCATTCCACTGGCGTGGAGTAGGGGCGCTAACTTGGGCTGAAGTTTGGCTTGTTAGGCAGAGCAGCTTTGCTGCCCTAGCAGCATCTGACAATGATAAGAACAAAATCTGCGCCCATCTTTGTTGTTCTCTAAGTAGGAAATATAGCAATACAAAGCCCCATTGAACCGGGCTTTTGTATCTGCAATAAAGAGATTCCCAGAACAAATGTGTGGAATAAATTTCTGACTCTTCTTGGCTACAACCCTGGTGAGGTAAGAACATATAAAACACAAAGTGTTTTAATGTCTTTAAATTTTTCTTATCAAAACTGGGACTGTCTTTTTTCCTTCGTGTGTGCGAATGTGCCTTTGTGTAAATTATATGTGTGTGTGAAATATATATATACCACTGATTTCACATTCAGTGAGGCATTTTTGTGTGTGTATATGTCCATTATGTATTGGTCAATGTTCTCCTGAGAAATAGAGCAAATAGCTTATGTTCAGATACATGGAAAGAGATTCATAGTGAAGAACTCACTAACAGGGTTGTAGAGTCTGAGAAATCCTGTCTTGCACAACGAGGCTGGAGACCTGGGAGCCGGCTGTGTATTTCTGTCCAAGTTTTAGTTGCCAGAAGTGGGGTTCCAGCATTCAAGCACAGGGAAAGACCAATGCCTTGCCTTAGGAGCACATTCCTCTCCCCCCTTTCCTTCCCTTTCCTTCTGTTTGGGTCTTTGACTGAATTATGCTTAACCTGAATTGGAGAACTGCAATTCTTTTGCTTTATGATTCAAAAGACTAGTGCTAAATTTAGAAGTGCTTCAAATTAATGATAATGAAATTTCCAAATATAAAAGTTTGTGTGTAACTGTAAAGCGCTACTAAAACAGAAGAGATTATAGTAGTAGATACTTATCTCTTAAAAGTAGAAAAGCCTTAAAATACCCCAAATTCTTCTCACATAAACAAAGGAAAAGGCAGATTAAAGATAGATAGAAGAAAAATAATAAAAATAAGTAGAAAAGTAGGTACTAAATACCAACACCTTCTTACTCAGCTTTACTCTGACGCAAAACAAGACAAAGACCAAGTATTATGAAAAAACTACAGACTAGCAAATCTCATGAACAATAAAAATATTAGCAAGTTGAAGCATCAAATATATAAACAGGATTATACATATATCCTGGGAATACAAGGTTAATTTAACATTTAAAAGCCAGTCACTAGCATTCACAATATTAATAAATTATCAACGATACCAAAAACCTATGTGATAATCTTAATGTTAGGAGAAAAGCATTCCTGAGGACCCAACATCAATTATTTATAAAAACAAAATCAAAGAACTGAGAGAATGTCTTGACTGAATAAAGGCTGTATACAAAAGCTAAAGCTTTATGTACGCATCTCCACACTACACAGAAAGACAGACAAAGGCAACGGCGCTGCAGCTCGAGGATGCTCAGGCTGCCCTCTGAGTTCTTCCTCCAGCTGGAGCCTACTGATGGCCGCTAGAGCTCTAGGGATCATGAAATCTGAAGATCATCAGCCTATGGGGACCATGAAACCAAACAGCCTATTCCATGAAGAGGAATTGAGCCCTCAGGAATGGTGCACCTATGCCACGGACATGCTCAAAGATCAGCCTCAGGATGTTAGAAGCAACAGCACCCCGTCCAAGACCAGAGTCTGGCTCCACCATCACACAGACAAGGTATTCTACCCGTGTTGTCTGCCAAACAATGACTAACAGGAAATAGGAGACCGCAGAGGGACTCTAACACACACAATTCAAACTGAAGATCATCACTCTGTTCCAGGATACACAAAGACAGGATGAAATGGCCCCTCTTGGCTTGAACTGTAGCTTTATTTGAAGATTAGAGCAAAAGCTCATTGTCTATATAGCTTATAATTATATAGAACAGAGTGCAAATTTACCTGCATTTTTAAACAGAAAATTGAAACTTTTCAATTAAAAGAAATTTTAAGCTGGAATCAACAGAGCTTTAATCTCACAAACTGAGTTCTCAATTCGCTCTTTCATCAAGGATTTCTGAATGGTTTTGAGAAAAAGTTACTCCTGTACCATTGCTTCTCAGACAAGGGGCTCATGCTGCTAGAACTGATCAAGTTTATCGTCAGAGCCAGCTAGGGACCAGCTCTGCATGAAGCACACCAGTGTCTCCGCTTTCAGAAGTGTCTCCAGCTCTTCAATGAGCAAAGGGTTAAATCTGAACCCTCCCATATACCGACTGACCAAACTGAGTGTAGAAGGGAGTCCAGGCAGTCACAGTTCATGTACTTACATTTCCAAATTAATTAGGAGGCTCATGAATCACCATTTAAAATAGGTACAGGAAAACGTCAAACACACTGAGTATAGAATGTCCATAGTACAGTGCCAGAACAAAAGACTTTTAGTTTGGTAGACTCCCAGTAAAAAGAAGAGGAGAGATTTACATTTTTCTTAAAACGTGATTTGGAATGACCAAAGGCCTCTAAGCACACTTCTGAAGCTTACTTAGGCTGGAGGTAGTCTGCCTAGATAGAACGGGTTGTCATGGTGAGCACACAATCTGCCAGACCCCATTCAATCCCTGCTGGTGTAAGTAAGACTCTACAGCAACGAGGAACTTTCCATCTCTTCTGTGTTTGGTGTTTGCCTGGTGAGAGCTCGCTGTCTGCTTAGCTTCTAATGGAACCATCCACGAGTATCTAAAGAGATCAGCTCGGATAGTGAATCTGCCCATCTCACACACCCGTGTGTAAATGTGAACAGTGACAAAAATGCAGCGTAGCTCCTGAAATACAGGGACAGCCTCTGTAAGAGGAATGACAGTCACCACTGGAGACACCACCCCAGGACTAGAAAGAAAAGGTACTTCACAAACTCCCACACAAAGCAAGCTCCTAGGTCACCTCTAAGGGACCATGCCTGTGGGTATATAGCTGAATCCTCTACAGGATGAACCACCAACCTTTGGTTAATGAAGATTTGCTTTTTCTTTTCTTTTTTTTTGGGGGGGGGATAAAAATCCTTTCTATTAAGAGCGTCCCCTGAGGGCTTCCACTGGCATCTTGCTCCACTTTCTGTCATACAGATGTTCACTTGGTTAGCACTCAAGAAAGAAGCAGACAGATTCATTAAGAGACACGCAGACATACAAATTCCTCCTTGGAAACTTCACCACAAAATTTGCTTGAGGGCTTGCCTTTTATGATTAGTTGCCACGGACATTGCCCGTCGGATTGCAGCCATGCCTCTTTCATTTCGAAAGCTACTGAAGGGTTCCATCCCTTGCCAGGCTTCTGCAAGGTAGGGGAGGGCAGAAGAGTGGCAGGGAGGGCAGGCAAGCTGGCGCCTATGCCCTGCCCCTCCTCTGTGTTCCATTCTCCCTGGCATCACCCTCTTTATTTGTGACTTGTCATTAATTCCTGACATCTTGTACTCCAAGCAAATCCTACCTCCTGATTACATTCTGGGATTAGGTTTCTGGGCCGAAGCCTAGCTTCGCTACACATGTGTGGCTACTATTGAAACTTAACACTGCACAGTAGAATCCTGGACTCTAAGTTGGCTTTCTGTTCCGCAGGCTGATTAGGTGGAGGAGAAGACAGCTACCCCTCACCAAAGCTTGTGCTTTCTATTACAGCCTGAAGAGCTTCTCCGGCTGCTTTAAATGCTGAAGATGAAAAGCACGGACCGTTGGGAGAGCCCATTGATTTTCCCAAACATCAGCACATTCTCGTCATAGACTTAGCAGTTCTGGGTGTAGTCACAGTCTGTGTGGTCCTAGCAAGGAACCACACGCTGGATTGTGGACTGCTGAGAGATGGGAGTAACTACTGATGGTTAGAGGTCTGTGCAAGCGTACGTGCGTGCGTGCGTGCGTGCGTGCGTGCGTGCGTGTGTCTGTATGCAAAAATCTACATCACAGGGAGGTCCATTGCTCTGATTCAAACTGATTGTGAAATTCGAGGACCATCTGGGCAGAGGTGAGGCTCATCTTCCAAATGGTGCAAGCAGTGCCCATGTGGAAGCAGGAGGTAAGAGCCACCCCCTGGCGCGCAGAATAGAGGAGTAAGGAAGAGGCTGAGTAGGATCCTGGGACCATTGTAATATGAAGGGTGACTCATCGGTACTTAGGAGTCTACACTGTGACCAGTGTCACTGTGCTTCTAGAACCATCTTTTGAGGTCCAGAAGTTGCTCTTTTCCAGCCTTTGGTTTGGGGCATGCAGATGTTTTATCACTGTGGGGAAAGGGTTTGGAGTGGGAAGGTTATAGAAGGTATTTTTGCGCATTTTGTTGTACAAACTGTGAATGTATCAAGGCCAATAAAAGGAATTCTCCTTGAGGCCAACAAACACGGGAGAGTGATCAGAAAGACTTTAACTGACTTTTCGAATTTACCAGGAGCCATTCCCCCCGCAGTGCCCAGTGCCACAGTTTAAATCTTTGAATTCAAAACTTTCCTCGATTGTCTCGTAGGGATTCTTGATGCTTTCCTTAGAGAACTCTTGGCTGTTTGAAGGGTTCTTTGAAGAAAAATGAAACCCTCTGCTCACAATTTGCAGCCCAGACACATTACCATGCTCACCGTCACTTTTCTGGTGCCGGCAGCCATGTAATTATACTTTTAGAAACACCAGTTGTCTCTTGTCCTCATCAGCCTCAAAGAGAAGCCCAGGATAGAAGCCGAGTCCAGCAGCATCCTTTAGCAAGCCTGGAGCACCAGACAGGGATGAAAGAAAACACGAAATTTTTTTTTTTTTAGATTTATTCCTTATGTGTATGTGTGTCTAATTATGTGCATGTATGTGCAGGTATCTGTAGAGGCCAGAAGAGTCCATCGGATCTGGAGCTTGAGTAGCAGGCATTTATGAGCCACCAACGAAGATGCTGGGAACTGAACTTGGGTCTTCGGGGAGAACTGCCGCTCTCCACAGCATCTCTCTAGCCCGACAGTCTTCTTTAGATGCTTGGATCCAAAAGGACATGGTTTCCCTGGCTTGTTAGTACTGCGGTTTTGAGTTTTTGTGGATTAGACAACATATCTAAAAAAAAAAATAAGTGTTTTATTCTATGGATTATATATTATTATTACTTTCCCTTTGCTGACCCTTACACACACACACACAGACACACACACACACACACACACACACTAAATGCACAAAAAAGAAAGAAAAACGAACATCCCCAATGAGAAAGGAATGAGAGATGGAGAAAGACTGTCCAATGAAGGGCATCAAGGCAAACAACAGGATGCAAGCTTGAAAAGACTATGATCTGAAAAAGCATAATCCGCAAAAACACGCTGTTAAATTCAGTGTCTTTGAGTGTTGTGTCAGTATTTGTTATAAATGCAAAATAGTGGAACTAAAAAAGATATCTATCTTCTCAATATTTTTTTTTAAAGTTATAACTCAAATTCTCTGGTAAAAGCTAACAGTGTGGTAGAAAATTTAATGGCTAAAAGAAAATCAAGGTCTCTCTGATCTTCATGGGCCTCAGATTGACAAGCCACAGGACCACGAGGGCAGTCCTGCACAACAGGACTCACTAGCCAGCGTTGGTTCAAACTTCAGGGGGGGTCTGACTTTGAGTTGCTCATTTAAGTGCATTTAAATACAACACAATGTGGTGTAAACTAATCTTGCGATGATTCGCTCAGTCACATGCGCACAACCTAAATCTCTTTGAGGAACAAAGTAAGCTAAGCACAGATCAGCTGTGACAACACAAAACTCTTTGTAAAGTGTCCATGACACTTTCCATAAAGGTAAGTTCTATAGGTTGACTGCGAAAAGCATGTTTATAAGAAGGTTCTGGAGGAGACTCCGGTGCCAGAAAGTCTCCAGCTATGCAGACCACACAAAGGTCAACAGGCAAGAAAGATGTCCATTCTGGGTGAAAACGGGTTTTACATTCCTTCCCTTGAAGACACAACACGGTGTGCTTAACATTCCAGCTTCCCCTAGCTCATATTTGTGAGCACAAAGACCTCTGCCACCCACCCCTACAGAAACCATGTACTGATGGTGAATCCATCAAGCAATGTATTGAGAGTATGACAGATATAAAACAGGCTGAAAAGAAAAGGAGGTATTTCTAAAATTAGTCTATTTCCCTAGATGACAGCCAGGTAAACTGAAGAGACTGGGAAACCTATCAAAAGTTGCAGAGTAGAGCGGCTAACTTTAAATTTTAGTGATGGATACTGACACTGATGTATAAGTATGGTGCTGTTGGCCATTTTCACTCTAGGTCTTGATGATGAACGCAACATCACTGGAAAATGAAACTAGCATTTTTAGGGCCATTAAAATACACAACTATTTAAAGAGGTTTACATGAAGCAGTAAAAAATTACGTTGCAGCAATTGTGGTGGTTTGAAAGAAAATGGCCCACTAAGGGAGTAACATTATTAGGAGGTGTGGCTTTGTTGGAGTGGTGTAGAGAGCTGCGTAGTGCCGCGCCTTAAAGATGGCGCTGGTTTCCGCCTTCCACCTCCCTGATGGTGAGTGCTCTCAGTCACAAACAACTCCATATATGGCTAAGGCTAAGGATCTGGCTTGCTTCTGCGTTTCTGGACCTATCTGCATTTCCCACATAGCATGCTGGGGTTGGCTACCCAGAGGCTATTTAAGCTGTGGGCTGGCTTTTCCCTGGGGTCAGAATATTGTTCAAGGTTTCTGAATAAACTGCAGTGAGAAGAGTCAAGTGTTGTATTTTCTTTGCTGGTCGAGGTGGTCGCGACAGAGTGGGTGTGGCCTTGTTGGAGGAAGCGTGTCACTGTGGATTTTGAGGTCTCATAGCCACACCTAGTGTCTCAGACCATTTCCTGTTGTCTGCAAGTTGCCTGTAAAATGTAGGACTCCTAGATACTTGTCCAGCACCATGTCTGCCTGCACACCATGATGTCCAACCATGATGATAATGGACTGAACCTCTGAAATTGTAAGTCACCCCAATTAAATGTTTTCCTTTATAAAAGTAGCCATGGGCATGGTGTCTCTTCACAGCAACAGAAACCCTAAGACAGCAGTTTTCTTGGTCTATTGTCAACATACCTGGTGTAGTTACTGATGGTGTCCAGTCACATCCTTAGCTTTATCTAATTGCAGACCGTTATTCTATAAACAATGTAGCCTAACATTTATAGACCACTTGTATTATACTAGGTATTTATAATTGATCTATCATTTAGAGTATATGAGGGATGTATGTGGGTTATATGGAAACACCAGGCTGTTTTGTAGAAGTGGCTTTAGTATCCACAGATTTTGGAATCCACAGAAGTTCTGAGAACAGTTTCCTGTGGCCACAAAAACACAACAGCATTTGATACTCTTGGCACCAATATAAACGGAGTTGTTTTTCCAACTTTATTGTCATACTTTCAGCATATAAATAGAACTTATTTTTGTATATTGGTATGGCATCCTATGAAACCCCTTATCAAAAGTCCTTAATTTCAATGTCCAAGCAATGGCAGGCAAAAGCGAGGGACGTACAAATGATGACACCTTTCTAATTGTAATCAAGACTGAAATTCAAAAGGACCTGAGATTAAATCATTGCTGGAACTCCTGGAATTCCTTAAAAGTTTGGCAGCATTGTTTAATTTTCAGAAGTGAGAAGGCTAATTTGAGGTCAGATGTTGGACAGTTTCTGACTTAGCACATACAAGTGTTTTATAGCATCAGTGGAACTCAGCAGTGGAAACCTGCACCTTAAAGATTTAGCATGTTAGTGGATTTGATTGTTTATTTAAATGAGCTAAGAAAGTCTTTTCCAGGTGAAAACCAAGTTACCAACACAAAGTTTCAAATCCTAACAGTGTTCCCAATGAAACTGAAATGAATTAGGCTAACTTAAGTGAAGGTAATTGACATATCAGCTACGTACATTTTTGACATATCAGCTATGTACATTTTTGACATATCAGCTATGTGCATTTTTAACATATCAGCTTCACACAGTCCTGTGAGCAGAAAAATTATGCAGCTTCATTTTTTGACTTGGTATAAGAATTTTCAAATAAGTCTCATAAGTTGGGAGGAAATAATACTTCGGAATATTTGTGACTCCATCTTCAGCCAGCAAAAACATGTTACCTGTCAATCTTCAAGGGACATACATAGAGCTGAGATAGGTCATCCAGTTTAAAGGAAAAGATGAACAGTATCTCTTTCTTGAAATTTTGGAGGTCCTGTCTTTCCAGAGACAACTACCACTGGCGGTACAGCCAGCTAATTCATGCCATTGCTTTCTTGCAGCACTGACATTTGTGAGCAACTGTCTTAAAAATGAAGCATACCAAGAGTAAAACAAGAACCCAAACTCCTGAGGAATCTTAGGAACTCACTGCCAATTGCAATTGCTCCCATCAAGGCAAATACCGACAACCTAAGCTTCTCAAATACTGTTTCCCTTTTTGCTTTTATGATTAAAAAAGAAAGCTTTCTTCCTTCATGAAAATACACAATTATCATGATGTTCACACAAATAGATGCTGCCGAAAATAGATGACATGAACAAAGACGGGTTGTTTTACTCAAAAGAGGTCCTTTTCTTTCTACATAAATTTTAAGAATAACTAGCTTATATGTCTTAAAACTCAAAGGAGATGTTGACAGGGATTATTTTATTATTTTGAATCTATATGTCATTTTAGAGAAAACACTTCTTAGCTCAATATGGATTCTTACATTGTTGACTGGGTGATCACTATTTATGTAGATGTTTAATTTCCCTCAGTGGCATTTTCAGTCAGCAACTGTTATATTTATTTTCTTAAATTTGTTCTGACTGTAGTTATCCCTTCACATCTATGGTTTCTGCATCCTTAGCTTTATCTAAATGCAGACTGTTAATCTATATAAACAAAGTAGCATAACATTTATAGATCACTTATATTGTATTAGGTATTATAATTGATCTATCATTTAGTTAGAGTATACGAGGGATGTATGTGGGTTATATGGAAACACCGGGCTGTTTTGTAGAAGTGGCTTTAGTATCCACAGATTTTGGAATCCACAAAAGTTCTGAGAACAGTCTCTGTGGCCACAAAAACACAACAGCATTTTGTTACTCTTGGCACCAATGTAAACGGAGTTGTTTTTCCAACTTTATTGTCATACTTTCAGCATATAAATAGAACTTATTTTTGTATATTGGTATTGCATCCTATGAAACCCCTTATCAAAAGTCCTTAATTCCAATTAATTAAACTTCTTCTTGGTATTTTCTACACATAAGATGGCATGTGTGGCAAATAAGGGCAGTTCTGATTCTTTCTTTCCAATATGGATGTTTGATTTTCCTCCTTTTCTTCACTCACTGCTGTCTCCAGTGGATGCTGAGTGTGTGTGCTGACCGTGCTGACAGCAGATGCCTTGTCTTCTTTCCATTCCCACCACAGAGAGCTGTGCTTTCAGCATCAGCATCACGGGGCCACAGCAGCTTGGCAGATGTCCTTGACTGGGACATCTTAGTCTTAATTTGTAAAGAGGCTGGATTTTTAACCATCAGATTTCTTCAGATTGTTCTTCTTCACCTTCTAAATTACCATACCTTTGCCTTTAATTCTATCAGTGTGGCACAAATCGTTGATTGTTTTGCAGATGTTAACCCCCCCCCCCCCGCAATTCTGGGATGAATCAAATGCAGTCAAACTGCACAATCTTCGTAGATTCAGTCGACAAGTCCCGCCTCCTGTGAGACACTGGTCTGTAGTTCTCTTTTAGAAAGACATTTCCTGTGCTGGCCATCAGCAAAACACTGAAAAAATAAAGATTGCAGCATTGGGAGGCAATCTTTATTTTTTGAGAGTTTAAAAAGAATTGATATTCTGTATTTTTTTTAACTATTTGGACAAATTCACCAATAAAGATACAAAGACAAGAGCCTTTATTTGTGAGAACTTAAGTTACTAAATCAGTTTATTTGGTTTGGCATCCATTGCTTTTTTATTTTCATTTTCTTGATGATTTTGGTCAATTCTTTCTAGGAATTCTCCCATTTCATCTAGGTTTGTCTAATGTGTTATCATAAAATTCTTCCCTTAATTTGTGTAGATTCAGCAATAATCACTTGCCCTCTTTCTCCATTTTTCCATTTTTCGTCTTCTCTCTCTTGAGTTTAGTCAGTCAGCTAAAGGCTCGTGGTACTTGTTGAACTATTCAGAGAATCAGTTGCCTGTTTCATTGGCTGTAGTTGTGGTTTTGATTGTTAATTTCTTTGCTTTTTACGTATTTGTGCCATTTGTTTGTGCTTAAATTCCCCAGAAATCAGCACAGGATTCTCACCTTTCCTTTTACTCTAATGAAAAACATTCTGATGCATTCTAAAGTGGTGTGTGTGTGTGTGTGTGTGTGTGTGTGTGTGTGTGTGTGTGTGTGTATGTGTGTGAACAATTACTGAAATGAAACCAAAGAGAATAAGAGAATCCTGGAATTTCGTTGGTCTTGGAAGATGTAAAATTAGTTTCAGAACTGGTCTGACCTTTTCTGTCCATTAGGGTTTATTTTATGTAATTGGGAGCCCCAACATTTAGGGCATATGTTTACAGTTGCTGTAATTTATAGGTGAATCATTCCCTTCATTAAAGGAATGCTTTCTGGTAGCAAAGATGTTTAAACATTGTGATAAGATAAAAAGGTAGACTATTGAATTTAGTCTGAAAAGAAAAAAGGGGGCATATAGATATGATAAAGGTAGATTCTTGAATCTACATTTAAAAAGCAACTATACAAAATTTGTATGCTGAAACAAACATTGTACCAGAGTGAAAATAGAAGCCCATAATGCTATACATTTAGTAAGAATATTCACTGGGTTCCATAGTTATAGTGGGTGAATTTTATGGTATACAAATTGTATCTTACTAACATCTTACCCTGAAAAGATTACAGGGTAAGCCATTCTGTAGTTCTTATTACAATAAAGCTAAAAATTTCTGGCCCAATCCTATTTATTGAGCACTCAATAAGTATCTATTAAAGTTTCATGAAAAAAAAATGTTGTATTTAATTACCACAATAACCCTCAGAGGTAGGAATTATTTTCCACTTTAAATATGTAGAAACAGTCAGAGGCAAAAATAAGCAGAGATTCAGTCTCTCAAGGAATAACACGGAGGGGAGGAATGTGAGCCCTATGTCTGTCTGGTAGCAAGGCTTGCATTCTTAATGCAGCTTAGGGCCTCTTTGCCAGCTTCTAAGCATATTAATTCTGACTTTGCTTTACATGTGAAATAGACTACCTAGCTCCCCACAAATAATTCCTTTAAGATTTTGCAGACATGTTGAGCTTATTTCCCTTTCCTTCCTCTGCCTTCCATTCCCCCATCGATTTCTGTGCTTCAGCTGTGATTTAATACCCACCAGCTTCAGGTAACCAGGTAACCACAGCAGGTGCTTGACATCTTGGATCAACAAAGCAGAGGACTCCAGGCTCCGAGAGATTTCCTCCTTGGAATTTGGAAAAGCAAATTTTACATATATTAAATTTTGCATTAACTGTGGATCTACTGTTAATTATATACATTACTGAATGTGGCGGTTGTTATGTAAGCTATAAATAGATCCTAGAGTGACTGCTTTAGAACTTCATTTGTCTCTACTTGGTTTCATGGGAGGCATAGTTTATCCTACAGGCTAACTTTCCAAAGCCCACATTCCTCTAAAGTCAAAACACTAAGAAGAAACAGGATTTATGAATGAATAATGAAGTTGAAAGGTTTACTGGTCAAGTCTGAAATGTGGGGACAATTTATAATTGAGGGTCTTGTGTTCATTAAATAAAGTCTCTTTGAGGCATCTTCAGACAAATGTGATAACTCTCCACTGCTGGCCCTCTCCAGGGAAGGATGTCAGTTTGACCACACAATTTAAACACGTGCCTGGGAGTTTTGTGTAGCTCCTTTCACAAGGGCCAGTCACCCTGCAGACCTGAGGCCAAGCTTCTCACACCATTGTTTCTCAGGTAGAATGGTCCAAAATGAGGCAGTGACAGATTTGCCTTCTGGCTTCTGGCACTGTCTGAGGTATAAAGAAAGGGGAGGAAAAGTCAGGCCACCAGAGAAGAATTATCTTAATATCCACACTGGTGGTTGGTTCTTCTGGATCGCAGACAGGAGGAAGCAGTCAGTCATGCTCCAGGGAATAAGTCTTATTGAGGACTTTGGGACAGCACACCAGCCTGGGCACTTAGGGCAGTGGTTCTCAGTTTGTGGGTTTTGACCCCTTTGGGGTTGAATGGTCACAAGGGTTACATATCAGATATTTACATCTCAATTCCTAACAATAATAAAGTTATAGTCACGAAGCAGGAACAAAATAGCTTTCTGGTTGGAGGTCAGCACGGTATGAGGAACTGGATTAAAGCGTCACACATTAGGAAGGCTGAGAACCACTGCCGTAGAGGTCCTGGGCTCCGGTTGTGTGAGATCCTGAAGGAATGTTGTATACATTCCAGCATATCCTGTGTGCTCCAACATGACCTGTGACAGTGTAACCTTAATATTTGCACATACTGATGCTCCTGAGTTTTGGGGTCGGGCAAAAGAGTTTCTGCGAAATATTAGGGCATCCGTGCTAGAGTTGGGGTAGAACCCTGGTTCTCCCTTGAATCACCGCAGCCTTCTGCTGCCACACTTTTAGTGGGGTTCACTGTTCTTTTCTATGAAATCACAGGCACGAGCCTGGGCTGCGGTGATGAGAACAAGAAGGGCTTCATTGTACCAGCAGCAGAGAAACCCCAACTCTCTGCGGATGTTTTTAGCATTTTCCCTCCTATTCCTTCTAGTTCTTTTTCTTGGTTGGTATCCCACTGTGTGTGTCCTTGGAGACCAAGCTAGAACTGCCAATTGCCACAGGCTGAGGGGCTCTTTGGTTTCCATTCAGAGGGGTTTCAATTCCACATTTCAAATTTGGTTTGGATTGAATTTTGGGCCACGGTTCTCATAGATCCAATAGAAAAAAGTGTGCCTCTTCAAAAAGGTTCTTTGTTTAAAGTTGCACATAGAAAGGGGGGGAATTATAAGCCAAATCTAAATTACTGTTATTATTGATAATTATTTATAAGCATAATTTTTCTAAGACCACTGTTCCAATGCACAAGTCATGACTACGAAATAAACAGAAACCACTGCTCTGGAACAGGCCACAGACAGGAGCTTGCTCACATCCTGGAGCATCCAGTCATAAAAGTTTTCCACAGCATCCAAAAGTGAGTCTATCTCCCATCTATCTCCATGGTGCTATTCTACGTTTAAGCAGGAAAAAAAAGATAACCAGCTAAACAGGACTGTAAATATCACTGTTTACATATCGCTGTAAAATTTTAAAAAATGGTTACACATACACTTAACTGTTGCCTTTTTTATCTTTGTCATATGTGACTGGGGGAACCCGAGGCTCAGCGAAGCAAGGCTGATAGAGCCCGTGAATGGAGTTGACTCACGAACCTAAGTTGTATTCCCGCCCTCAAAGGGATCTCATTAGAAGATTAAAGAGAGAACCTTATTGGTGAGGAGCCTCTGCAGTGATAACAGCACTGTGCAGAATGAAAGACTTGAAGTTGCTGCGTCCCGTGTTTAAGTGGATTCTCCTAGCCCTGTCACAGTACCCAGGATGAATGCTTGCTTCTCAGCACATCGCTCTGCAACACTCAAATGAGTCAAGATACTTACGTGGCTTTTCATATTCTGGAGTTTCTGCTGCTGAGAATGCGAAGTTAGAGACTCAAAGTGTCCCTGTCTGCTTCTCTGGAGACCACCGTTGAGACTAAGGGCAGGAGCCACTGGCACCCATCTCTGCTCTGGAGTTCAGGCCAGATGCAGTTCATGCACGGCTTTCCTGGGGATATTAGACTTTTCATTTGTTACCACATAGTCCACATTCTATCACGAATTTTCTCTCTCCTCACATTGCCTTTAATTAAACAACTCCTCACGACACACTATGGTTCCTTCTAGAATGGGGTTACTTAGCATCTAAATTGCATAGCACCTGGCATACAGAACAGGTTTCATGGACATTCATAACACCATCAATAAGTGTGATGTCAGAAGATGCACTGTAGGAATGAACTGGGAGCCTGGGAGAACTGGGGCACCATGGGGTCCCTGTGTGTTAGGGAAGCATTACCTGGAGAGATTCACTGTTTTGGTCAATTGTGTAATGCATTTCTAACCAGGAGGAAACCCTATCACGGTGTTAAAAAGTTAAACACTCCTCTTTACCTACATTCACTGTCCATATCACAGTCTTAGTCCACAGAGACACTGCTACTTCACATCACCAAAGAACCACCTTAATCCCTTCTTTCCTTCAGTAGTAGGAATGTGCTGGATCAAATCACGCGTGTTTTCTTAACCCTCCCCTTCTCAGACAATGGCAGAATATACAGGCCAAGAAACCTGGAGGGTCAAGTGTAATCTGGGGTCAGCTCACCAAAGCTGCCTAACATGAAGATGGAAGTGTCGGGGAAAGGAGACATTTCTGATGGACAGCTATTAAACAGAGACTGTCACCACGAGGACCAGAAATGAACTACTATTCTGGCTCTGATCGCCAGTGAAGATGCACAGACTTGTAAGAGACAGGAACAAAAGGATCTCCATAGATTTACTATCTGGTTACTGAGTGATAGAACGACTCTATTCTCCCTGACTCAAGAGCCCATCCCTAGCACGTCTATAGGATGTGCTATTTCCAAACGCTTGTACACACGCAGTCTTAATTCACCCTCTTGGAAGAATCAGGGCAGCGCTATTAATAGCTCACTGTCCAGGCACTAAGTCAAACTGGTTAGATCCTGGCTCCCGTACCCTTGCTATGTGACTTTGGACAGACTTTAACTTCTTGGAGCCCGGTTTCCATGCTGGCTGAAGAGATCCTAACAGTACATATCTTGAGTTTCTAAGATTAGATAAGATAGCACACACCAAATATTTGACTCATTGCCTCATATAGAATAACTTCTTAATAAAAGACAGCTGTACATGGTATAAATATCATCATTTAAGAAGACATCTCTCTGCTGCCCTTGCAGAACTGTGCTCGTGGACAAGTGCAGGAAGACCTGGATTAAATGCTGGCTCTGAGCCTGATCACAGGCTGCTGCCTGGGAGCCTTGACCGTCTCGTGTAGTCACGGCTCCCACTGACTTGAGTCAGTCTCCTGCCTACGTCTGGATAGAGTCCTCAGTTTCCCTTCATCACATGAGTCTTCTAACCTGATTGCACCTTGCCTGGTGCCGGCCGGTGTCAGCAGCGGGCAGTACGTGACGTGGCCATCAGATCAAGATGCTTCATGATTCCTGAAGTCAGCCAGGAAGACACAGCTTTTCTTAGAGAGACTTTTTTTGGTGGGGGGATAAATTCCTCCTTTCAAGTAAAATAACCCTGACTGGAATTGCTGGGCTATGGCAGCCGCATCAGGGCATCATTAAAGGAAAGCTCTGACTAAGCACTGTTTAGAATCTCAGAGCTGTGTAGAGTCTGTGGTCTAATTTCTGCCGTGTGTTCTATCATTAACAGTTCCAGAGCCACCCTACGTTTTTTTAATCAACTGAGCCACACAACCCCCACTTATGACATGGCATCTCCCAAAGGAGAGAAGCAGTCTTTCATTGACCTGGGAGGCGTCCTTCAGAGACCATTGTTTGCTGGCTAGCATCTCCTTTCAACTGACTAACTAGGTGGAGACAAAAGAACAAGTTACAGAGAGGAGAGTTCAATGTCAGCCTCTTCTGGTTCTGAACATGAAAGGGAAGCTGTCTATCATGAAGCAGTCTGGCTTACTGGTAGGAACCTGCTTTTATTCCTCAGAATAGTATCTCAATGGACAGTTTGCAAAACAAGACATCCACATGGCCAGTGAGTACACCAAATACTTTGGACCACTAACCACCAAGGGACTTCAAAACAAACGGCAATGAGAGGTCATTGAAATTCCAGATGGAATATCTATTTTCAGAAAGACAAAAATCCGTATGTGGAGCAGATTAGGAGAAAGGGGAACCTGTACACACTCTTGGTGGGAATGCAAGTGATTGTAGACTTTATGAAAAACATATAGAGGAAATGACTTAATGAGAATGAGATATCTGCATTATTCATAGCAGTCAAGAAATGGAAGCGATGAAGCCATCCTTCAATGGGAGAGTAGATACAGGGAGAATGGTGTATGTGCTGAAATATTATTCAGTCATAAAAATGAAACCCTCTAATTTGTGTCAAGGCTGATAAAATTTTAACCATATTAAGTGCCATAAAAGGCAAACGCGTGTTCCACTGCATTTGTAGAAACTTTAATATCAGCTTCATAAATGGATTCCCTTGTGATCTCTAGAGTCTGAGAAAAGCAGTAAGGGGAGAAGCAAATATTCCCCAAAGGGCACTGAAACAGAGGGGGGTTTATTCAGGTGCTCTAGCACACAGGATGGTAATCAGAGTTTCCAAAACCTGTGCCTCACCCCATCCAGAAGTATCCAGTTTCCTAACACATACGTTGCTAGTGTTTGAGGACATGAAAATGTGAATTCCTCTGATGTGATCCTCATATTGTACACTTTATTGAAATACTGTACTGACCCTTTGTGAACACGTACAAACGAGGTGTGTCAATAAGGAAGGCAATACAAACAGAATTGAACCAGGAGCATCTCTGCAAATACTTGAAGGACACCTCAGGGGCAGCAGGGCAGTGTTCTCCATGAGGAGTGGCGGGGAGGTCATGGGTGGAAGAGCTGAGCTCTGGTCCCTATCCACAGAGTTTTCAGAACACACTGTATCACTTAAAACAGCACTAAAGCATTCTCAGAGGTCTGGCTTTATGAAAGATGGGCTAAAGAAGGCGAGTACCGAAGGAAAAATAAAATGCATAGTGCCCCCTTAAGAAAAATCTGCCTATAAACTAACTATGACATAAAATACATTCCAAACCCAACCCCTGTCTTGATTTCCCTGAGTAAGACTTGAAATGGCCCTTCTGTGCTGACAGCATAGGGCTAGGATTAGGCAACATGACCTGGTCTAGAAGATGGAAGCTTGATGGAAGGCAGCTATTGCTCCCTGGCTGATTTCCATGTTCACGTGCATCCCGAAGCACAGAGTCAGGCATAGCCTCGGCTACAATGCAATGCTGAAGCATAGAGTCAGGCATAGTCTCGGCCATGATGCTGAAGCACAGAGTCAAACATAGCCTTGGTCACGATGCTGGAGCACAAAGTCAGGCATAGCCTCAGCCATGATGCTGGAGCACAGAGTCAGGCATGGCCTCAGATGACAAGCCTCTGTGCTGCCTCTCAGTCTTTGCCAGGTCATGGAGAAAACCCAGGAGTGAGGAACTTGGCTTTGGGGATCCCATGGCAAATGCTGGGGTTGGGAGTATGGAGCAAAGGAGACTGCAGACAGCTAACCTTCACATCCACCCATCCTCTGAATCACCTGTGCCTCCCTTCCTCTACTCCCACAACCATCCTTTCCCTAGGTTCTCCTGGCCTCCCTGCCACATAGGAAGCATCGCAGGCGTCTCTCTTGTCTTCTTTGGTGCCACTGCCATTACTTATTGCTGGGAGGACACTAAAAGCTGCCTCTGCCCTAACTTTTCTTTTGTCCTTTTTGAAATTATTTTATCTATCTCCCCCACCTTGATCTCTGGAAAACTCAAGTCATCAAAAACCTGCTCTTTTCACTCCCTTATCCGACAGTTTCCAAGATCCTGACATTCCCCACAGCTCACTCCCAGTGCCAATCAGTGGCCTAGAGACGTCTCCCAGAGTTCTTCCACGGATGGATGCTTACCCTTAATCTTTCTGAGTTTCTACCTCCCCGTCCATAAAGAGAGGATGGTAATAACACTGATCTCTAAAGGTTCTTGTGGGGGCAGAGGGTGGAGGGTTCCCCATGAGACACAGTGAGTAAAATACTTAGCAGAATTCTTGACTACGTACTAAATGAAAGCTGCTGTTATTGTCTTCAGCACCCAGACACCCAGACCCTACATCATAGACCCTTCTCTCCGAGGAACAGACCATGGTTTGTCTCTCTTATCTCAGAATCTTTGCGCCTGCTATTTTGATTAGTTGGTTTCGCTGAATATTCATTCAACAGATATTGACTGAACATCTGCATGCACCTCAGCACCTACCATTGACAGTAAGTGCCCAAGTGATAGCCAGAAGCAAGACACAATATATATGAATGCGTGGCAATTTTATATTCTGAAAATGATGATTTGAGGGTCTCAAAATCGTTGAGTATATAGCCAGTGGTATATACTCAGTGGTGGTGGAATGCTTGCCCATTATGTGGGAGGCCATAGGTTCTATCCTAGTGCTGAAAAGAGAGGCAGGAGAGTCAATCCGGACAATGAATCTAATTATTTTTACTAAAAACTCAATATTACATTCCACTCAATATTTAATACCAAGTGAATGAATATAGAAAGCCAACTATAATTTTGCATTTGAAGACACTGCTTCAGAATGGGAAGCCTGATAGCTAGCTGGGGTGTTTATAGACACACACACACACACACACACACACACACACACATACACCCGCCTCCCCTCCCCCCCGTGGATGCATCTGAAAGGGACAGGCAGAAGCCACTGGGAGATGTCTGGAGGCACAGAAATCACTGAGACCCAGCAGATGAGGCTTAGTCAAAGTGAAAGTCAGCTAGACATGCAAGTTCTGAGTTGTATTCTTTCTTTCCCGGATAAATTGTGAAGACCACGTCCAGTATCTTGCTTTCAGCAGTTGACTGCTTTTCCTGTTTCTATGGGGGTTAACACAGTTTTCATACTCAGATGGAGCAAACTGCCAAATCACATATTGAATTATAGACAGAGTAAG